TTGATCAATGCATGAATCTTACAATCGACCACTTGTGTTGCAAGTTCTCTTTACTTATTACAGTTCAAGCACATCTATACAAGAGAAAATGTGGCTCAAAATATTCTTATCCTATAAAATAAAAATTGGTATGATAATAAATTTTTTTTAAGATAAGTACGATATATGATTATTCAATTAAATTTATTTTTCATTCATCTAAAAAAGTGTAATAGTTATCAAACCCATTCTGACTATTTTTTGCTATTTACATGGCTATTCTTATCCAACAAATAGTTTTAGCAAAATTTTGTCAGTCCTACGTTTCCAAATTAAACCCATGAATTTATACATTGGCGGCCTATAACAAGGGAAATTTAAGTGCATACTTTTGAAATATGATGTTCGCCTGAAGAAGGTTGATGGCGGCAAAGTAATAAATTATTGTATCATTATATGCACGAAAATTTAGCTCATATTCAAGTAATTAAAGTGACAAGCGATAAGTGACAAGAATAGACTATTTTTTACATGAAAAATCATGAAAAGGGGAAAAAATCATAGAGCTAAATGATCAGCCATGCAATTATGAGTAAATATATCAACTTTTCTTTTGAATTAGAGAAGGAGTTCCAAAGTTGCTTAACATTAGTTCATCGATAATAGTCATAATATAATTATAATGAATATAGTTTTTAGCGATAGTGGGTTGTAAGTGTCTTAATCGATTTTTATGAAGGCAATAGTTTGTCTTGAATGGTAGATGGTGGTTGTAGTGATAGTTGTCATATACGTCATAGTTGAAAGCCATGGTAATTGGTCATGTGGGGGCGTAGAAGATTGTTTCAGGAGCGTCAGTTGACTACAAAGATCGTAGTAGGGTACTGCAGAAGCTATGAGCCACGTAGTTCATGGTGGTGAGCTGTGAAAACATCCATAAGCCATAGAGATTGGAGCTGGGAGCTGCATTAGTTGTGGGGCACATAAGTCGTAGTTGGTCATATAGTCCTAACACATTTGTAGGTCGCAAAGGTCGGAGTTGGGAGCCACATAAATCGTGGTAACGCTCATAGTCAAAATAGGCCAGAGTTGGGAGCAACATAAGTTGAGATAATGTTCATAGGTCGTAGAGGTTGGAGTTGGAAGCTTCAAGAGCTGAGATAATGTTCGTAGGATATGAAGGCTAAAGTTATGAGTTGCATGAGCTGTGATAACATCCGCAGGGCATAGATGTTGGAGTTGGGAGTTGCATGAGTTGTGGATCATATAGGACGCAGTTGGTCATGTAGGGTGCCTCAGTGGTGAGCAATGAGTATATAGCTTCATAAATTTGGAGAAAATTATCGTATTCTAAGTACAATGAGAATGTATGCAATTATTGCAGGGTGTATCATTTCATTGTATTCGGTATGTTTAGTTACACCGCCTTCGGAATACGTCATCACACCATATTTGAGTTGCGTCGTTGCATGTTATATGGGGATGTTATTGCATTATATTTGGGGTGTGTTACTACGCTGTCTGTATGGTCCGTCATTGCATGGTGTACTAGACCACAAACTGGTAATTGGGTGTTTCACTGTTCCGCAACTCATGTTGGGATTCTGCAGTGGATGTTGTGAATCTGTAAGAAATTTTGTTACAAGGAGCACGTGGCAGTAGATGAAGGTCGAAGTTGATCGACGAGCAGTGTTTGACGGTGATTGATGGAGTTCACTGGACCTTTAGTGTAGAAGATGTGGGATTAACTCATTCTCCTCCAACCTTCGATCTTCCTCTGTTTGAAGCACTAGGGCCAGTCTTAAAGGGGGGACACAACTCTATTTGTAATCTGGTAGAGACATCCCTGCAAATAAGGAATAAATCTGAACTATTCATCGGACAACCCGTAGAGATTTTCTAGTGCTGACGACATTCTATGGACATTTAAGTGTCTTAATAATGTTTAAATTGATTAATTTTTAACTCTTTAGGTTTGTCTTGTTGAAACACTCAATTCGACTATAAGCTTGTATGATTTAGATTTCATCTGACATTCCAATTAGACATTAGAAGCTTTTAAAAAATAGTCTAACGGCTCGATCTCGGCTCGATTTGACTTAGATTGAGCTAACATTAGTGTCATCTGGTCTGTCTCATCTAGCCAGTCAGTTTGATTTTAAGTTTCCTAAAATTAAAGTTCTGGATGATTTCTAATTGAACTTTGAATTTTTATTATTTATAAAATTATCTCGACATTCTACATCATGCCTCGGGATTTGTGAAAGATGATGGAAACCTATCAAAACTAAATTCTTTTGCATATACATTTTTATAACTCTTTAATATTTAAAGAACATGAAACACATAAAAGTAAAATACATATTTTTATGCATGTATATTAATGGCTATCATCTAATATAAAAATTTAGAGATTAGATAATTGAATATATAAACATTATTAAAAACACATGTAAATTATTCTCATGGCATTTAGGCTATAAGATCTATCTATCTGTTTGTCGATCCCAAAAGAAAAAAAAAGTTATTTGTTGCTAGGAGTGTATCTCCACATAGCTGCTGCAATATTTACAATTATATTATGCGATCCAAAAAAAAAACAAACAAGATCAAAGATCTACAACGCGGCAGGAAAGCGTAAGCTAAGCTCTTTATTGTTGCATTCGTACCAACCGCAATGTAATGTAAACAAGTTTTTTGGGTGCAGCCTGCCTCTATTTCTTTATGGAACAGTTGCTCTAAGAAGTTCAGTTTATTGGCCTTATAATTTGCTATGTATTGTACACCAAAAAGGTATATTGCTGATCTCACAGGGATCCAATGGTCCATAACGATAAAGTATGATGACAGAAGATCCCCTTCAAAAAGATCACATAATAAGTCGAGTAAACCGAGCCAAAAACGACCAGATGATGAGTTGTAAAAAATACTCGGTAAACCCCATTCAGATCAGAGCAAAAACGTTATATCAATATTATACTAAATCCTCCATAAATAGAGGTAGCATTTAATGAAGAAGGTTACACGATTTTTACTTTTCATTCGAAAGATTGAAGCTCCACTATAGGATCTCTTCATCTAATTTTCTACTTTCATCTCATGTTATATTCCTTAAGCGTAATTCACAAACAAATTTATATTCGAGAGATATATAAACAAAAAAAATTGGTTAATTTTCAATATAACAGATGACTAGCAACAAAAAGAGACAACCAATTGGTAGAAACAACCAAAAAAGGCTGTTGCAACCCATAAGAAGGTTAGGTATGGTATATCTCCTTAATATGATAAGGGATATTTTCTTTGAATTTTTCAGTTTGTGCTTTTATAAACAATCATCAAATATATACTTATTGAATTAGAATTTTGAGCGTAAAGCAGGGGGGAAGAGAGAGAGAGAGAGAAGGAATAGAGTGCGCAATAATGGAAAATAAAATGGATTTTTGATTGATTAGACTTTACTGAAAATAATGATCCCCTTATTTATATGAGAGAGGAGATACAGTGTATATAATTAGAGACTTACCCTTGCTTGATGGGAGCGTTACAATGCATTTTAGGTATTTGCATAAGTGAGTTTATGGTTTGGCTATCCTATTGCTCGGTCAGCTGAGATCAACGAGCCTTGGTTTGGCAAGGCTCGTTTATTCGAGTGCATTGAGTTGGGTTACTTGTCTGCACTTGATGATCTTTGATTTGGTCAGACTCATGTTGGTCTTCTTGGTTCCACTAGTTGATTGCTTTGGTCTGACTGTTGGCTATCAACCCCTATATGAGGAGCTCCTGTCACCAATATGAGGCTAGACTATTGGACAGAGGGTAAATTACCATAATTCGATAGGTAGCTCACCCATTGGTAAAAGGTCCTTTGGGGTGTTTGTGGAGTATATCGTGATAAAAACTCTCAGTCTGTTGATGAAAAGCCTTTGAGGTTCTTGTGAGGTGACTGACGATGTTAGTGCGAGAATTGGACTAATGTCTTCTGTCAAGTCTATAACGTCTGGTTGATTTCAGGTTCCGATCCAACTGATCTACTTGGTCAATCTGATCCTCAGATTTTTTGGTGATGGGAGTTTTGATCTTCCTTTTGTAGGCCCTCCCTGATCCCTTCATGTCTCTTAGTCCGTTGGATTTTCTCAAGATTCATACTGTCACATTTTTTATATATAATATTTTCATGATAAAATAAATAGAGTTAAAATGGTTCTTGATAATTTTAGGGTTCTTTTCAAACTTAATGTATTAAGTGATAGCTTGTGTATAAGAAAGATGAACTCTCTTATGAATTTTACAATAAATATTATCTGAATGGTATAAAACTTGATAAAAATTATTCGAAGCAATAAAAAAGCAACTCTTAGGAACAAAACTATTAAGAAGAGCACGAGAGAAATGTTATTCAAAGAAAATGTAATTATGAGTTTTTATGCCCTTGAGATAAATAACACAATAATTGTTGATAGTAATCCCTTGAACAAAAAATATCACAAGTTTTTAAGCCTTTATGAAAAATCTTTGTAAGTATGAAAAGCAAGTCTTAAAGAGAAACTCTTAAACCAAGCAAGTATAGCCTCATATAAAGAAAAATATACAACTTTATGAGAATAGGCGTCAACATTGTTCCAAAGATAAGTAGCAAAATTAGTAATAGAGATGTTATAAATGACTTTGCTAAATATATTAATTAAATTAGTTAAATCAGACATAATGTTACTACTAGCTCTCTAAAATATAAGATTATTATCATCATAAATCAAATGAGTGAATCTTATCATTATTAACAACCAAAATAGGAAATGCATCTATAATAATAGCAAAAAGAATATGAGAAAAAAAATAACATTATCTTAAACCAAAAGAAGCACTATCAGAATCAGTATAAATGAATTGGATATGATGAATTGAATCAGAATCAGTATAAATGAATTTTTAATCTTAAGTATCTGAAAAGCCTTGAATAAGGCTATAAATGAAGCACTATCAGAATCAGTAACAAAGAAGCATCTGTAACAAGAAAGGCACTATCATCATCAGTAAAAAAAGCATTTTCAATCTCATTACCGTAGGACCTCAGAATGCGATTAAAAATTGTGTTTTTACTTGTAAGTGAAGATTAAAATACGGTTTTTCTCTTCAGAGATTGAAGCATCATAAATCTGATCCCAGAGGTCGGCGGTCCCAGCGGCGCGGAGGTCGGAGACTAGTAGTCCGGAGAGGTTATGTGAAGGGTTCTTAAAGTTTAAAATCAGCGTCGTCCCCCGGAGAGGTGAGGCCTTGATGTAATTTTCTCTGATTTCAACCTGCAATATGGAAATCTAAGCCCCCTATCTGTCTCAGAAAAAAAAAAATTTTTTTTTTTTACTCCTCTTGGCGCTTAGCGCTTTGAATAATACTCTGAGCTTTTCTTCTTCGTCGCAGGGCTCTCTTGAGAGTACCAATTAATACTGAATTGGATATGTTATACTCCTACAAGTGCTGCTGTAATCTCCCCTCCCTGCAACTCGACGGTGCCAAGTGTTTATCGGAGTCCCGGCAAGTGCTTTCTATCGATTTTACTTCTAAGAAATCAAAGAAGCAACACTTTGTGGTAAATCTGTCTAGGGAATCTAATCAAAATAATGGGGTTAGCTCAAAATTGAATCTTGCTGGTTCAAGTTTGTTGGACAAGATCGAAGCAAAGTGTCCGGCGAAATTCTCTTCCTATGGAGGTTGCATTCCCTCGATATTACAGGCCTTAGAAGATGTGAAGGATATTGACGAGGCTTTGAAGCCATGGGAACGGAACCTTAACAACAAGGAGAGAACTATAATCCTCAAGGAACAAACTAATTGGCAAAGGGCATGGGAAATATTCAACTGGTTTAAAAGTAAGGGTTGCTATGAGCTCAATGTGATCCACTACAACATCGTGCTTCGATCCCTTGGCATGGCCCAAAAATGGAGTCTCTTGTGGTCTCTCTGGAACGAGATGCAGTGTGAAGGAATCATACCCACCAATGCAACTTATGGAACATTGATTAATGCTTATAGCAGAGGCGGTCTGAAAAGAGAAGCCCTAATGTGGCTTGGTGAGATGTACAAGCAAGGGGTGAAACCGGATGAGGTGACAATGGGGACTGTTGTTCAAGCCTACAAGAAGGCCGGGGAGTTCTGCAGGGCGGAAGATTTCTTCAAGAGGTGGTCAATGGCCATGGGTTATGCTACTCAAGCCCAGAATAGTTATGGCTTATACACATATAACACACTGATTGATACTTATGGGAAGGCAGGTCTTCTTAGAGAAGCTTCAGACACATTTGCTCAGATGCTAAGCCAAGGTATTGTTCCTGACACTGTTACATTCAATACAATGATTCATATATGCGGAAGCCATGAAAGGTTCGAAGAAGTTCTTTCTTTGGTGAAAATGATGGAAGAGGTGCGGTGCTATCCTGATACAAGAACGTATAACATACTCATTTCATTGTATGTGAAACATGACAATATTGCTCAAGCAATTGATTATTTCAAAAAGATGAAGGAGGCTGATCTGGTTCCAGATATAGTGAGTTACAGAACGCTTCTTTATGCATTATCTGTAAGGTGCATGGTTGAGGAGGTTGAATCCCTTGTCATGGAAATGGAGATCAATGAGCTTGAGATTGATGAATACACCCAAACTGCTTTGACTAGAATGTATGTAAAACTAGGAAAACTTGAACAATCTTGGACTTGGTTTGAAAAATTCCTTGATAAGATGAGCTCAGAATGCTTTGCTGCTAATATTGATGCCTTTGGAGAGCTGGGAATGGTGTTTCTTTCTGAAAAGGCATTCTCCTCCTGTGCAGAGAGAAGAAAGCTTAGTGTGGTTGTGTTCAATGTGATGATTAAAGCATATGGTGTAAGGAAAGAATATGATAAAGCTTGTGACTTATTTAACATTATGGATGATTATGGTATATTGCCAGATAAATGTACCTATGGCTCCATTATACAGTTGCTGTCTGATGCTGAACTTCCACACAAAGCAGCAATTTTTGTAAGAAGAATGCAGGAGGCTGACCTGGTAAGGGACTGCGTACCTTATTCTATGGTGATAAGTAGCTTTACTAAACTTGGCGAAGTCAGAAAGGCGGAAGATTTGTTTAAAGAAATGATTAAGTTTGGTTTGCAGCCTGATATTATCATCTTCTCCGTTTTGATAAATGCTTTTGCTGAAGTTGGGAGTGCTCAGGAGGCTGTTACTTATCTTGAATTGATGAAGAGTGTTGGTTTGGTTCCTAACTCCATCATCTGCAATTCATTAATCAAACTTTACACAAAGATTGGATTTCTACGAGAAGCGGAAGAGATCTATGAGTTAGCGAAGTCTTGTGCGGGAGGTCCTCACCAGTACTCTTCAAATTGTATGATTCATCTTTACTGTGACAATGCAATGGTTGAGGAAGCTGAGGAAACCTTCCATTACTTAAAACTCAGTGGAGAAACAAATGAGTTCTCATACGCGATGATGTTATGCCTATATAAGAAAATGGGGAGATTTGATGAAGCTTATAAAGTTGCTCAAGAGATGCATGATTTAGGTTTCATTTCTGATGCGCTTAGCTACAATAATTTGATTGGTTTTTATGCTGCGGATGGACGAATGAAGGAAGCTCTAAAAACATTTCAACAAATGTTGGCTAAAGGTATAAAGCCTGATGATGCAATTTTCAGGTCTCTTGGTATTATTATGCTTAAGAGGGGAGCTTCGAAGGAAGCAATTAAGCGTTTAAAAAAGGTTAGAGAAAGAGATGCTTTGGGTGGGTTACAGGAATGGGTGAAGGCTATGTGCTCCATGGTTATGTTGGATGAGACCTTCAATGGACATAATGTTGAGGAAAAGGGACAACGCAAAGGAGATTTTTCCATTGCCAATTTTTACGAAGGAATTGGGTCCTATAGGGAATCAATGTACTTGAAACAATATTCATGTGGGTGAAAAGCTTCTAACTTTTGAAATTAGTTTTGTTATTGATTTTGGAGGAGTTGTAAGTATACTGTGGTAGTGAGCTGTGCATTAAAATATCTATTACATCGTTTTGGGGGCAAAATCATTTTTTTTTTAATTCTATTGCTGAAGAAAAAGGGAAGTTCCTATCATCACTTTGGAAACTCATTAAATTGGGAGAACACATCATGATGAAAATACAATGAAGAAGATGTTATTTTTTGGTTTATTATGCAGGGAAAACCGTGAGCTGGAATTTCAACAAAATCATAGTAGTTGCGGTTATGGAATTCATAAGCTCACTTGTGCTTTAGGAGAGTAATTTGAGAATTGATTGATTCCAAGGTTCCAACACTAAGGTACATTTCATTTCTTAATATTTTTTAGAGATAATTACATACAAACCACCCTAAAGATTGATATTGACAAATTAACCAACCAGGTGATTTTTTTGAACTAGCAAATCAATGTATTTACACATGTCACAATCAAACTCTTGAGAATTTGATAAGAATGAAAAATATGGTTCGCGGTTTTACCATGAATTTTGATATGTGATGAAAGAGGGTGGTTGATTTGTAAATAGCAAGTTTCAGGTGGTCTGTATGTAATTGCCCCTATTTTTTTAATGTTATCTGTCATTATAAAATTCAAGTTATTGTGTTCTTAAGCATGTGCATAATCTCTTCTAAGCATCTTGAATAAGAAATTTTTTATTTTTGTTTGGTTACAGAACTGCTAAAGTCTTTCAGTTGATAAAATAAGGGGAAATTTCTAAAAATACCTAATTCTCTCCCTTAAACAGGTTTTGATTTAGCTCAAAACAGACATGTTTCCAACTTTTATTGTTTCAGAACATTATGACTTTGATTTCATTTTAGTCAGGAATTTAGAGTAGTTTGCTCTTTACTCGTATAGCTGACAAATTTATCTGGTAACATCTTTTTGACAAATGTTTAAAGTATTTCAAAGAAGACATTGCTGTTAGCTTGATAGCAGTTAACGGGCTTGTTCATGGATGTGAGATTCTTAAGCTGCTTAGTTTATCTTTATTTTGAAAAAGACTTCTCATAAAAAAATAATAGAAAATGGAGAAAAAAATAAAATGCCAAAACACACTAACTCAAACACTGGTCGCAGTTGTTGGTGGACTATCAGACTCAAGTTCGTTTATTTAGATACTTTAAAATTTGCAGATTTCATTTTGATGTTTTGAATTCAATTTTGACACTTTTGAAGCTTGTTGAAGCCTTTAAATGCGGTTTTGGGCAATTTTGAATAATTTCGGGTTAGTTTCTTTCAACAATCTTTCTTTGAATGATGTGCAAACTATACTCGCGGCTAACATTATGATTGAGGAGGATTATTTGGTTCACGGCTATTTGAGTTGATACATTTTGACGTGCATTTACGAACATGATACTATTTTGCTTAGAGGTAAGTATTTCTTATGTTGTATTGATTATGATTTTCTTGTTTTAATTTTAATTTTGCGAGTTTTTATGTGAAAAGAATTTATTGCCATATTATAATTCTCTGATTGTATCGATCAACTATTTTCAACTGTAGCATTTGAATGTTTGAAGTGGTTGTCTTTTGCTGGTTTTGATGCTTTTACGACTGAAATGAATGCAGTTCAATTGAAACAATGTTTCTTGAATTAGTTGGGCATTCATATTATCTTTCTATTCTCTTGTTCTTTTGTTTTTTGGAATTTTTATTTCTTGATGACAGTGATTCTTATATATTTATGACATTATTTTACTAGCAATTTTTTTTTTTTTGTTTATTACAGGTATCAATTACTTAAAACAGTTAAAAACATGTAATTGATGAGAATCAAAGTAGATTTCTTTAAACGAGCAAATTTGCATTCTCCTTAGTCTTTTTTTATGATGTTTTTGGTGCTGAGATATTAAGTTGTCTTTTTATAATCCCGGTCAATCGGTATTGTATTTAGAAATGAGCTCAAGTTAATCTTTTGAATGGAAGTGCATCTTGGGATATCGTCAAGTAACTTGTTGATACAATTTATAATGCACCTGGAAAAAAAATTTGCAGTTGTCCTCATAGCCATATAAATGAGAGTCGGGCTTTTTTTTTGGTTGGCGTGTTATTGTGTGAGGCCCTATTGTGTTGTTCAAAGTTCACTTAAAACTTTGGAGCAGCACTAGAAAGGGATTGAGAGTAACACTAGAAGGGACTCGGGAGGGCTGAAGTTAGGTACTCCAACGTCCATAGAGGACTCGAGTGCATGGAAAGACAACGCCTAGGAGTATGTTTTCGGCATTCGGTAAACAAAGCATACAAAAACTCGACGCTTTATATCCAGCCCTAGAAACAATTTGAGCAGTTTAGACATTTAAGTCCGATGTGGAAGTCGGAGAACTCTCTCGGCAGTGCGCGAACGAAGTTGCGTGAAGTGGTGTGTGCAAGTTGAGTGTATTTCTACAAGTATTAACTTTGCCTTCTAGAAAATGCAAGTTGAAGATTTATTGTATCAAAAGAAGCTGTATTTGTCACTGGAAGGAATTTCTAATGAGCTCTAATCGATGATTATGGAATAATGAGAAGTACTTGATCAACAACACTAGGTTTGATCTCTCTTTCATTTTTCTAATCTGTTGCTTTCAACATTGTGAATTAAAATACTACGGTAGATCTCTTTACTGCACTAATAAAAATGTAGGAGAAGCCTTCGACCTTAATTAAATTTTTCTTATGAAAATATTGTTCAATATGAAGATGGTGAAATGTAGCTCGAAGGTTGAATTTGAATAATTTGAACATTATGACAAACCGGTGTTGTTCTGTAGGCTTCAAGTTTGATGACGAGGTTAGGGCACTATTAATCCTATCTTCATCATGAGATAGTTGGTAAGGGCTATCACAATGATGAGCAACTCTTCACGTAATATGAAACTACACTATGATGACATGTGGTGTTAGTGTTGAACGAAGAAATCCGCAAGAATAAGAATGGCGAAAATTCAAATTTTGTGTTGAATGTTGAAACAGAGGAAGGAATTTGAATAGAAACACATGCATGTAAAGATTCAAATCCAGGAGAGGAAAGTCCATGTCAGGAAGAGGAAAAGAGCAAGGAGAATAATAAAATTGTGAGGAGAAATATCACTTTAAGAAGGACAACAAAGATCTGAAGATGGTTGGTGTTGGACTAGATAAAAATCTCTCTACAAATGTCTCCACAGGTGAAATCTAATGCGACTCTATAGTTTTATTCCTAGACAATCCTGAATCTTGAATAGTAGATTCACATGTTTATTTTCATGTTTGCCCCAACAAACATGTGTTCAAAACTACACTCATAGTGATATAAAAAATGTGTTTTTGGGAGATAACAAGGCTTGAATTATCGTCAGAATTAGTGATGTTAATTTCTGGTTGTCAAATGGAACAGTCTAGAAACTCAATGAAGCTAGTCATATTCTGTGCTTAAAGAGAAATTTGATCTCGATGAGCCAGCTTGTAAGGTCAAGGTATATGACTATTTTCACCTTTAATTCATGGAAGGTGACCAGAGGTGCAATGATGATGACACCAAGCAATGTTGAAGACATTATTTATCTATTTAATAAGATGTTAGAATCCATTAATGTAGATGGAACAAAGGTTGATGCAAATCTTTGACACCGCATGTTTGACCATATGAATGAGAAATTTATGAAGCCCTTACTTTTCGAAAACAAGTTTCACGGTTTAAATTCTATAGAGTTAGATTTTTGTAAAGATTGTGTTTATACCAAGCAAGATAAGATTACTTTCTTCAAAATTGGTCAAAGGTGAAGTCCAAAAAACTAGAATTAGTGCATACTGATGCATAGGGTCCTACTCCAGTTCAGTCTATTGAAATTTTTCACTATTTTATCAATTTCATTGATGATCAAATCAGAAAGTTATAAGCATTTTTTTAAAACATAAATATAATGCATTTGGTCTGTTTAAGAAGTGAAAAATTATGATTGAGAATGAAACAAATTTGAGGTTGAAGTGTCTTAGATCAAATAATTATAATGAGTATCATAATCAGAGGTTCAGGAGTTATTGTGCTTCAGAAGGAATCAAACATGAGTTCACCGTTCCAAAGATACCACAATAGAATAGTATTGTTGAGTGCGTACCATCACAGAACATGCTAGGAGTATGAGGTAGCATGCAGGTTTGCCAAATCAATTCTGGACAGAAATAGTGAATATTATGGTATATTTGATAAATTGTGGTTCGTTAATATCTTTAAATGAAGGTTTAACTGAAGAAGCCTGGAGTGACAAAGAGAAAAATCTATCACACCTGGAATATTTGGTTATTCAATATATGTTCATGTTAATGCAGTATTCTTAAGTAAACTTGATATGTAATATGTCAAGTGCACTTTTATTGGGTATGATTCAGATGAATTTGGATATAAATTATTGGGTTATCAGAATCAAAAGTTTATGAAGAGCAGATAGGTGACTTTTAATGAAGCAGAAATGTACAAGGACAAGAGTAGAACTTATGATTATCCTTCAGTTACTTTTGAAGAGTTCTTCAAATATGTTAAGATAAAACATACTGGTGATCAGAATGATAGATAAATGAGAGATGTTCTATCTGATGAAGCAGCTCAGTCAACTGTTCCTGAAGTCAGGAGGTCCGGTAGAGTCACATGACCAATATAAGGATATTCTACCTCTTTGTACTATATTTTATTAACTAGTAGTAGTGAACCAAAGTGTTATAAAGATGCCACTCAAGTTGAAGTTTTAACTGAGTGAGAATATTTCATGGATGAAGAGATGATGCCACTGAAGTCAAATCAGACATAATTTGATAGGATTAGCTGATAGCAAAAAGGAACTTCACAGAGAGAATTTACAGACTAAAAAAAGAATCAGATGATAGCAGATGCTACAAGACAATTCTTGTTGTGAAAGGGCTTCAACAAAAGGAAAAAGTGTATTACTCAGAGATATTTTCTTTTGTATTGAAATTGATAACTATCTGAGTTATGCTAAGCTTGGTAGCAGAGAAAGATCTATACAGACTAAAAAAAGAATCAGATAATAGCAGATGCTACAAGACAATTCTTGTTGTGAAAGGGCTTCAATAAAAGGAAAAAGTTGATTACTCAGAGATATTTTCTTTTGTACTGAAATTGATAACTATCCAAGTTATGCTAAGCTTGGTAGCAGAGAAAGATCTATATTTAGAGTAGATGGATGTGAAAACAACATTCCTTCATGTTGAGTTAGAGTAGAAACTATATATGACGCAATAAAAAAAATATGAAGTTCCTGGTAAAGAAGACATCGTCTACAGATTGAAGAAGAGTCTTTGTGGTTTGAAGCATGCCTCAAGATAATGATACATGAGGTTTGATTGGTTTATGTCAGACAGTGAGTACATGAAGTGATCGACAGTTCATTGTTGTTTTATCAAACAGTTTGATAAATGTCATATCATG